GGCTTATATTATATAGGTGTGATGAGACGGTGAGGCGGTGACGTAAGGGAGAGGACTTCAACCATTTTGGTAAGTACAGTTATGGTAAGATTAGATCTCTACTACGAATCCCGATATTCTCTCCCTCGTGCTCCTATTCCGTCGGAGGAGTATCGTGAGCTCGACTGGACTTGATCTTGAGCCTTGACTTTGAGTTGGAGTGGATTGGACTCGAATCGAAGTAGTTCCAATGGTGCAGAGGTGGAGAAAGCGGAGGTCGAAGGAGAGGAGAGAGCCAGCATGGGCGACGCCCAATTGGGACCCCTGGGCGGCGCCCCCCTTGGGGATCCTTGGGCGTTGGCCCTTGACTCCCTTACGCATTGTCCTCTTGATGTCCCTTTGGTGCTTTGAACTCCCTTCAGATGGGTTGACCCAAGTTCAGTTGGACTCTTATTTTGATTTTTTTGGTTTATTTTTATTAGACTTGACCCAGTCAAATTCGGGCTCATCAAAATGAAAGAATTTTTGTAATTTGTTGGCAGGAAAAAAATTTGAAAGAATAGTTTTGATCAATTGATCAATAATCTTAAAACAATCTGACCCACAAATAATATATATATATATATATATATATATATATATATATATTATTTGCTTATTATACTATTCGAATATTATAATATTTTTATTTTAATACAAAATATGACATATATTATCATCATTCAACTCGTTTTAATGCAAATAATTTGTATTTAAGATCCATTTTTTTATTTGAAAATTTTAAAAAAATTCTTAATCATATAGAATCATAATTAATGACCTAATTAATGTGTAGTATGAGATATAAAGAATGAGAGAGAGTTATAAGATAGATAAAAGCCATAGAATTGTGGAAGGAATGAAAGTTTTGTTCAAAAAATCGGGAGAGAAAATTTTGTATTAGGACAGTTGGATCAATAATCGCCAAGCTATCTGAACCGCACAAAGTTCAAGACTAACTTTTCTAACTACTTTATTATATGGATATATATTATATTCTTCATTTTAAAGAGTCACTTTTAAAAAGTTACTCTTTAACCATACTCTTTATTTTAACTAACTACTATTAATATTTTAAATTAAAAATATTGCATAATTTGACACATCATCAAAATATAAAATAGTTAGTCACTTAAAATACAAAAAAAAGTGATTTGACTCTCTAAATATAAAATAACTAGCCAAAAAAACTGTACATGTAAAAAGCTATTTAGTCCAAAAATAAAATAACTAGTTAAATAACTAATCCCTTGAATAAAATTTTGTGATTTGATTCTTTATTTTAAGTAGCACATATAAAATACCTAACCTTGGACATGCTATAATATAAGTGGTGGGACTCCAGTGCGGCTCTTCGGTCCCTGGCTTGACACGTGGAACAATAAAGTCGTCGGGATGACCAAAAGATGCCAAGGTATGGTGACACGGAGCGGCTGAATACGATAGTTGACATCGTATTTAATGTGTTGTAACCTCACATTTATGGTGAAATGAGTGATAGTGACATGACAAATAAATGCGCGCCTGCAAGCAACTGCCCTCTACGAATCTAAGCCTACTGTCATAATGGCTAAACATTAATGACTAATGCGTCGAGACGACGTATCAGATCTCCCGAAGAACTGTTCTGCCGAGTAGTCAATGCTTGGTTGGTGTCAGACGCCGACCTAATGGATTTAGTTGTTCGGGGAATGGCATAAGTGTTCGGCGGATGGCCGAGCTGTTACTCCATTTTCCTAACATTTAATAAGAGGAGACATGAATAGGAAACATTCACTGTACGAGGAATGGTATGTCAGATATGAAGATGTCCAGATAAGACTGAAGATCTTTGACAATCATTGCTAATTCATGTATAAATATCCTTCAGAAAAATGGACAAAGATACGCAAATTCAAACCAGAAAAAGTCTTTTAAGCAAAATCTTTCAATCTTTTACTGACTTAAGCTTCGGAGGGGATTAGCTGGGCACACGCCCAACCCCCTTTTTCTGACCCCTGTTGTTCCAGGTTCGCTAATTGGGAGATCGTCGCCTCATACGATTACAGGAATCTTCTCGTGCAATAAGTAAGGGAAATGCTATGTATTTTAAATTTGTAATTTAAATTTGAATCTCAAATGAATGAAAATCATTGAATGAGTAGATCTCATTAATTTTTTTAATTAGAACTCACTGATTCAACTATTCTTATTGATTTAAAATGAACATTTGAGATATAATTTTAAAATATATAGCATTGTAAAGTCCTTATACGTTTTGTGTTTTTTTTTTGCTTACAGCTTTTAGGCAGAGGTAGTGATCGCCACACCAGCACAGCAATGACATCACTTCCATTATTGATCCACAAGCAAACATGTGCCTCCACAAAAGGCCACACAGTGGAGTTGCCGCTAGCCACGCTTGACCTCACCTCCTCCATGCTTATCGGCTAATATTTTATATTTTAAATAATAATTTATATTTTTAATTATGTATTATAATTTTTTTAAAATAAAAAATAAAATGTAAGATTAAAAAAAGTAAGGATGAATTAAAGAGATTATTTGGTATAGAAGAATATTCTGGTAGAATTGTTCGAGGTTGGGACTGCATAAAAAAAATAAAATTTTGGAGTGAAAATTTTTTTGTATCATTAAATTAAAATCAAGATAATTTTTTTTTTTTTGCAATTTTTCTAAACAGTGAAGTTCAAACCCACAACTTAAGAATCCAATAGTAGAACGGTGGCCATTAGGCTGACAATTGATCCTTCAAAATCAAAATACATTAACATTGGATACAATTTGCTATTACTATTGCACGAGAGAATTCTTGCAATAGATTGAGGTAGCAATTCGCTCGATAATGAACCAGAAATAACCACTAGGTCAGAAAAGGGATCGGATGAACACCCGGCTTATCCCCTCTAAAGCTTAAGTTAGTATAAGATTGGAAGGCTTGAGCACAATATATTATTTAACTCAGTTCAATTTTGCGAACATTCTTTCACTTTTCTGGGGAGTATTTGTACTTAAATTAGTAATGAGTGCAATAACAAGCAGTTACATCTGAACATTTATTGACCTGTAGCCTTCTCAATGCGTAATAAATGCCCTTTGCACAAATTCTCTAGCCTTTAATGATTTGGTGACAAGACAAGTGCTCGGGACTATGCCAAGCACTTATAACTACCCCGGGGCAATCAAGTCCTTTTGATCAGCACCGGACACCTATTCTCAAACTTTTATTGTGTGGGGAACAGTAACTTGATGCGCTACGGGGGAACATACTCGGCACGATAATCATTAATGTTTTGTTATCATAATTGTTGTTTTGGGGTCTCGAGAATGAAGGGGTTCATTAATTGCTCTGTCTAAGTCACTCACATCTCATTAATGAACTGTCATGTCTTCTTAAATGCTGGTGTCAGTTTGTGTACTCTACTCTTCCAAGCTATTACTTCTCAACGCCAAACCTCGATGTTTTTTGGGCTCTCTAACGACTACATCTTTACGCGTGTCAAACTGGGGACTACTGAGCCGCCTAAAGTACTGTCAACTATATTATTACAAGTTAACCCAAAAAAATAGTTTAAGTGGTAATGGTTTGAATCTTAATAAATTTTTAAAGTCAAGTTATGAGAAATTTATCCTTCATAAATATTTTAAAAAAATTTTAACCACATTCCTTCTAATTTATCATATCTTCAAAGATATTCCCTTTATTTTTTAAATCTTCACTAACACCCTTAGTGAGAATAAAAGTGTTAATTATAATGTAATTTTACTAAATTATCCATAATATAGACATATCTTAAATAAGAACAGTTCTGTTTTTTAAATTTTTTTACGTATTAAAATTCAAGCTAATTAAAATTTAATTTGAGCTAATTAAAATTATTTTTTGCGTACTAAAATTCGAGTAGATTAAAAAATATATTTTTTTACGTATTAAAATTTGAACCAATTAAAATTTTATTTGAGCTAATTAAAAACTATTTTTAAACGGCTCAAATCAAATTTTAATCAACTTGCACAAAATTTTAATTGGTCTGAATTTTGATACATAAAAAATATAAATTTTAATAGACTAAAGTTTTAATACTTAAAATATAAATTTTAATCTGCTCAAAGTGTATTTTAATTGACACTAACATTTAAGGTAAAACTCAAATCGCCTTGAATTAATACGTAAAAAAAATATAATATGTTTGAATTTTAATGCATACAAAAATTAAAATTTAATTATCTTGAATTAAATTTTAATTGGTTCAAATTTTAATATATAGAAAAATAAATTTTAATCAACTCTAATTTTAATATATAAAAAATAAATTTTAATTGATTCAAACTTTATGTAGAAAGATTATTTAGTGGTTAAATAAGGGTATTTTTAGTTTTTTTAATTAAAAATTATAGTTTAGTGGCAATGGCTGTTAACGATATTTAAATATAAATTAAAAAAAAATGTCAATAATTTTTTTGATAATAAAAAAAAGGCTTTTGAGGATATAATAAATTAAAAGAAATGCGACCGTAATTTTTCTAAAATACCTTGGATGACAAACATTGATGAGACAGATGATCGACGTGGATGATCTTCTGTAACTAGAGCCTGGAGGCATCTGACCAGTTTTCTAGAAGTTTATAATTCGAGGCGAGATCTACTAAACTATTTATTTTTCGTTCTTAAATATTTGTTATTTTATATAATTTTTTTTATTTTATAAAATATGTCGTTTAATAAAATTAAAATATAATTAATATTTTTTATTCTAAATTTATTCATAATTTTTCAATATATTAGATTAAGTAGAGATTAAATGTTTTTTATATTTTTTTCCTTCTTAATACGTATTGAATAAATATAATTTATTCTTGTATAATTATTTTTTATTTATATTAAAATTATTTAATAATTTTTTTAATTTTTATACAAAATATTATACAATAAATATTTAAAAATGAAGAGAATACAATATTGAAACAATTGTTGACTGGTTCCTTAATCTTTAAAGTCCTTTTGCCGTGTAAGGTGAGGCTTTTTTGGGTATTAGTTGTTGTGTTGGCTAGCAAACAAAAAAAAGTTTGCAATTCGTACCTCTGTAAAGAAAAACTTAACCTTGCATGGAGACTACAACAAAATAGACTCCATAGTCCGAACACTCAACAGAGATGAAGAACGCAGAGTTAGTGGTCATACCTTCTCCGGGAGTGGGCCACCTTATATCGACTGTGGAGATCTCCAAACTCCTCCTTAATCGAGATCATCGACTGTCCATCACCGTCCTCATCATGAAACTTCCCATTGACTCCGGCGTCGACGGCTACATCAATTCACTCTCTGCCACCGCCACGCCACGATTACGCTTCGTGGACCTCCACCTCCCTCAAGGCGATTCAGCTTCACAGCCACAGGACCCTTCCTCCAAGTCCAAGTCCCCTCTCAGCTTCTTCGCAAACTTCATGGACAGGCACAAGGCTCCTGTGAGAAACGTAGTCGCTGAACTCACTCGCTCCGACTCATCGTCTCGACTCGCCGGGTTCATCATCGACATGTTCTGCACCGCCATGATCGATGTGGCGAACGAGTTCGGGGTTCCAACCTACGCTTTTTTCACGTCGGGTGCCGCCTTTCTTGGCCTGAAGCTCCATCTTCAATCTCTCAGTGACGATCACCACCAGGATATTACTGAGTTGAAGAACACGGAAACCGAGTTGAGAATACCGAGTTTCACAAACCCAGTTCCGGTTAGGGTTTTGCCTTCTGTGGTGGCTGATAAAGCAGGTGGGTCCACAATGGTGATTACTCACGCCAGAAGGCTGAGAGAAACAAAGGGCATTATGGTCAATACATTCATGGAGCTGGAATCGTATGCGGTTGAGTACTTCTTGAACAGTGACAAGACCCCACCAATCTTTCCGGTGGGGCCCATTCTCAACCTCAGTGACGGTGGTGATGATATTCGCACCAAGCAATCAAGACCAATCATGGAGTGGTTGGACCACCAGCCTCCATCATCGGTTGTGTTCCTGTGCTTCGGCAGCATGGGATGCTTCGAAGAGGACCAGGTGAAGGAGATAGCTCAAGCCCTCGAGAACAGTGGCCACCGGTTCTTGTGGTCGCTCCGGCGGCCTCCGTCGAAGGAGAAGAATAAGATGCAGCTTCCGAGCGACTATGAAAATCCAAGCGAAGTCTTGCCGGAAGGGTTCCTAGAACGTACGACCGAAGTGGGGAAAGTGATCGGATGGGCCCCACAAGTGGCGGTGCTATCCCACCCGGCGACCGGAGGTTTCGTGTCTCACTGCGGGTGGAATTCGACGCTGGAGAGCGTGTGGTGCGGCGTTCCCATGGCGACTTGGCCACTGTACGCAGAGCAGCAGATGAATGCGTTCGAGATGGTGACGGAGCTGGAAATTGCGGTGGAGATTAAGATGGACTATTTCAAGGGCTTCCATGGTGATGAGGATAAGAAGCCAGAAATCTTGAGCGCTGATCTAATAGAGGGTGGAATAAGGCGATTGATGATGGGTGGTGAGAGTGAAATTAGGAAGAAGGTGAAGGAGATGAGAGAGAAAAGTAGGGTGGCCATGGCGGAGGGTGGGTCATCGTACAATACAATAGGAAGATTGATTGAGGAGGTCATGAACAGCATTGCCTGAAGAAGACACAGAAACGTATCATATGGACGAGATAAGTGGATTGAGTTGTTTCATATTACTTGTACTCAAACGGCACAGTTTCTGGCTTAAGAGCTTCTCATCTTGCCCCTTTTCTTGTATAATTTCTTGCTGCTGTTGGGTTTTTGTTTCTGCCACTGCCATTGTTCTCATCTGTTACAGATTGATTCACAATGAAATTGGCGGCTTGTAGATTAGAATCATATATTTTTGGGCAAATTATAAATTACCCGTGGTTTGATCGTTTCTCACATTACTCACGTATAGTTTTTTATGATATCTAAAATAAATTTCAAGTGCTAAGCTTAGGAGGTTAGCTCGGACCAAGAGGTCAGGCACATTAGTAGAGATCAGAGGGTAAAGGCCAAGTGTCTCTTAAGGCAAGATAACAGTTGGATAACCACGATAGGATCTTAGAGCGTTAGAAAACTGTAATCAAGACCTTCTCCTAAAATTAAGGAGAAATCCAAGAAATAAGGACAAGAATCTCAGATAGATGGCGAGGATCA